AATTGGCAACTGTCTTGATTTTATGTGGTCCTGTAACGTGTTCATACTATGGCTTCCCATCTTTGTGCAAGCAAGGGGTCTTCCGTTGAGAAGAGGATGACAGTCAAATAACAAGATGAGAAGAGGTTGACAGTCAAATAACAAGGTTCTTGGAAAATAATAATGAAAATATGATTGCTCGTCTTAGCAGAAATGTCAAATATATTTCAAAAAGGAAAAAAAAAAGGGGGAAAAAGAGAACTTCAAAGAATTACGAAGACTAATCTTATTCACTTGCTATTATACTTGATTCAATGGCACATGAATTACAAAGAGATCTGATGTTGAGAGTTAGATGTAAGGCAACTTTTTTTGATTGACGTATCAGTTTTAATTTGATACGACTCTCACAAATAACCTGTAAAATGTGTTAATACCAATCACACTGCAAGTCAGGACCACAGCACTATGCCTGAATACTCAGGGTTTGCTTCTGAAGATCCGCATTTTCTCTCAGTGAAGGTTCTGATTCTATAGTTTTCAGGAGACAAAAAGCATGATTTTTAAAGCACCATCTGAAATATGAAAATGATAGCCATGAAAAAGAAAAAGAAAAAAGGGAATCTGTAAAACACTTTCTAGTTTCCTCAGTGATTTTACTGTCTTTTTTTGCACCAACTAAAAATCACGTACATTGATTGACAAACTATAAAATGAAAAAGGGTGTGCTCACAAATTGATGGCATAAGGGGCCAAAAATAAAAAATAAAAAATAAAAGAAAGAAAGAAAGAAGAACTTTGCTCATTGAAAATGGGAGTGGATGCTAATACCAACATTTATGCTAAATAATATAAGTAGTTGAATGAAGATTTCTACTGAATGCTGGGATGGTCATCTATGAGGCATTGCTGCCCACAGTTACTCTCTACTGACAAGATCCAAGGAACCATGAGAGCATGGGAATCAGTAATGGTGAAATGCAATGAACTTGTTGCTGCATTAGTTCACATGATTTGTGGAGGTCAAAAGGAATCTGATGAGAACTCGTAGAAGGAGATAATTATGGCCGACAGGGGACAAGGGGAGCAACAAGCTTTTTAAATAAATGCTATTGCTGATCAATAATCTCATCTTTGCCCACCTAATCCCATTTATTCTCTCTTTTTGCATTTTCAAAAGTCCAAGAATCTTCTCCCTTCAGGATGCCTGTATGACAAAGAGTTGGTGTATAACATAATTTGGATTGTAACTAAGTAAATTTCTTAGAGTGGCTCAGGGTTGTAATAAAAATGTTGAAATTCATTGTAATTGCAAACTTTCAGGTTTAAGCGAGTGGATTCTTCTTGAGAGGTTAGATTCATGAGGAACAAAACTTTCCTCAGAGGGTGACAAAATCTAACATCCAAACAACCATTTATCTCATACCCTCTTTTTCACATCACGAACCTTGTGATCCCTGTATCAGCTTCAGGTTCCTACAATTGTCAAGGTAAGATTTAAGGTTCCAAGTTCCAACCACTTGGATTAAAATTATCACGATGATTTGTAGCACCTCTCTATTTGAATATCCCAAACCTAGAGCCATCCCAGATCATACTACTTTGAAGGATATCATATCCACAGAAAAGATATGAGAAGTATGTTATATGTAAGATATGGAGCTGGATTGATGGGTCAGTGAGATTCTAGCTGGTTATATCTAAACAGCTCCACGGTGTTCCAACTTTAAGGATGTATGGTCCAAATACCTGTTCAACTCCAGGGAAAAACTAATGGATATGGATATGTTCAACATAGCCTGTCTGTATGCAAGCGCCAAAATAAGGATATATCGATGTGTTTTATCGCTACAAGTTCGTGAGGACAAAATGGCCAATCCTATATTCTAGTTCAACTGGTTTTACTATTAATTCATAATTTTAATGATCATAAATTCAGGTAAGTTTAGAGCAGAGATCGGATATGAAGCACTTAACTGCGACTTAGCTTTTCTTTTGACAGTCGCATTTTAAAGGTCACGAGCCAGTCTCCATCCAGTAAAAAAAAAGTGGTACATTTTCATTTGACTGTCAACTTGTTAGAAATTAATATCAGCAGAGGAGAACACAAAGGACAAAGGATTGCTAATGCAGAATATACCATAATCTATATTTTGGAGGTTCCTCAGATAAATGGAATGAGAAGAAACTAAAAGAAAATTACTAGTAAATAAAAATTTCTGAAGTAAATTGGAGGTACCTCAGATATGCATCACAACCATTAAAAAAACTCCACTGCCAGTGTCATCCTTTGTGCAGATTGCACAAGATTTGGGGAAAATCATGATGGCCTAAAATACTGAAGGAAGAAAACTGATGAACTGCCGCATTACCAGCTACACTGCTTCAAACTACCACTTTGATTCATCTAGTTTTATGACCGGTATCATCCTGTTACAATAACTCAAAGTCCTAAGAGGTAAAGCTGGCAGAATACAATGCCCTTCCATATTTTTTCCTACATAATTTGAGCATTGCACTACGATGAGGAGATATTTGATGAAAATTCCATACTCCTGCAGACTCTACTAACACCCATATGTTGTGCTTCTTGAAGAACTTGAATTCAAAGGTATCATCTTTGCTGCATTTTCTTTGGCACAGATAGCATCCTTAATTGGAAGAAACTGACAACCCAAGACAAATGATTCTTACCTCTCGGTTCAACATCACAACACTGCTGCTTAACCATTTAGTAACTTGGCATTTGGTTTCCCATATAAACACTGTTAGAAGAAGAAAGAGAGGTAATTTCATTCACGGTGCAATCGCTAAACAGTCTTCTGAATGCCTGCAAGTAGTTCTGGGCCTTTTTTAGTTCGTCATGATGAAAGCTCAGCCTGTTAAGTATTGAACTATCGATTCTGCACAAAAGCATGGTACACTGACTAAACATTGTAGTTCCATGGAAGTCTACAGTATGCTATAACATCTGCCTTATTCTCAAACTGCAAATTTTCAAATAATCAGTTTCCTGCTGGGCACATCCATCAGAAAAGAATGGAATAATTACCTGTTCTTGTGTATAAGCACATAAAATCTAAGATCCATCTGATGAACTGAAACAGAGTACGGCTTTCATATTTCAGAACTTTTATAAGCTGCAGACATGTAACCAGGACCTATTGTCATTGCATTTATCATCTTTAAATATTTCTTCGTTATATAGGTGCTGATTTAAGCTGATACCATTGAGCTGCCACTGCCTAGCTTAAGAATATCTTGACCGCTGAAGAACACATCCTGATGGAAAGGCGAGAATTTTTTTTTGTCTGATTCTATAGCATCACAGTACAATTTCACACATCTGAAGTGATTTCCTGCTAACGACCAGATTTGCCAGCTTAAAAGGAGTAAATCCCTCTTTACCTTCTTCACCTGCAATCTGTAGAACCCAGATTTCTAGTGATTCCGCTATAACTGGCAATTCAGCATCACATGAAAATAAAATATAAGACTACAACTGGAAGCACAAAAAAAATATTCTTGGCGTATGAATATGCAACTGCATTCTAAAATCATAGTCTCCAAGATCCATACAAGATGAGCTCGTTACAAATATGACAGGTAGGGTATAACAAACCATTACCGAATGCCAAGTAAGCCTTGGTTGATCGAACCAAAAATGCCAGATTTGACATGGCATATAATTTGATACCAACATTCTTATCAGATAGTATTACTAGAAGGATGTCAAGTCATCAGCATTCATAAAAGAAACAGCAGTATTTTCATTAGCTTGCATAGAACCCATTCTTGAGTCCAATATCGCCAGCTGGGACCTCACCCAAGGTGGGTTGAATTTGCCCTCAATCCATAAAGCTTCACCAGTGTCTTTATGCTTGAAATCTGGGTACCTGGGATTTCTCTGCAAATTGAGGAATCCAATAATCAACCAGACACTGTCAATATTATGAACCACATGCATAATTTGACTAGGCACAACCACGATCATTTTTTCATAAGTTTAGACATAGGGAACAAAGAATCATATAAGACTTTATTCAAATGATTTCCAGCAAAAATGTTAATCTTAATTCCATCAATTTGAACAGGATTTTTTTTAAACACACTTCCAATAAAAGTCTTAATTCGATCAATTTGAACAGGATTTAAAAAAAAAACATTTCCAATGAAAGACGATTTGACTGCACACAATTTATCAGCAATAATGTATACTTGCAACTGGAGTTTGCAGCATGAGCTTACATGTTTAAAGATGAACAATGAAAAATCAAGCTTGTTAGGAAGAGCATGTTGGATCATGGATGGATATGTCTATACATGTATTGATGTCTAGACATAATCTCCAACATAGAATGAAGCCATGAAGATATACTAAACTGGATTGGGCTGTGTGGCATCATGATAATTCGTCTCATGTTGCTGATTTGGCCGAAAAGAGAATGTAAAAATAAGTACACCGGTCCAATTTCTAATGTCTCAGCACATTGAACAATAACCTCTATCAAATGTAATTTGCATATATATAAGGCTCAAAATTAACTTAATAAATAAATTTCTTTTTTTAGATTATTTACTTTTAATTTGTAAATCTTTCCCCAATAGAAATTTATATTTCTACCACATACCCCTTCCAAGTACTATGTAAAGCATATGATAAATCTTTCCCCAATAGAAATTTATATTTCTACCACATACCCCTTCCAAGTACTATGTAAAGCATATGAAATCCATATGATTCATAAAGGCTTATATTTCTACCACATACCCCTTCCAAGTACTATGTAAAGCATATGAAATCCATATGATTCATAAAGGCTAACTTAAATTGATGTTTTTTTTTTCTTTTTCAAAGAAAAAAAATATAGGAGAAAAATAAACTTTTATGAATTGAATTTCAAGAGTTGCTCTTGCACACACTCCTTTTACATGTCCATGGATGTAAAACTAAAAACATGCATAAATATCTCTCTTCATATTAATACCTTTATAAAGTACAATATACTCTGCACGGACATGAAATCAAATTTTAAACAACTTAACGATGTTTTGCAACCATAGCATGTATTCTAATATATAGACCAAAACACAATCAACATACAAACAAGTGAACGTGTGCAACCGTCTAGGTCCTTTTCAAGAAGATCCACTACACTACCATGAAAACATAATAATATTGAAGAATGCATATAAATTCAATGAAGAGAAAAACCTTATTCTGCCTGTTATCCCACCAATCAACCGGATTAGCAAAGAAAGCCTGCCAAAGCTTCTCAGTTGAACCAGAAGAATTGCCCCCATAGTTCTGAAATTTCCCCTCTGTAGTACACATATGCAACTTACATACTAGAACTTTGTGAAGAAATATCATAATTTACAATGTTGGGTTAGAACAATAGAGATATGAGTACCTGAACTCACTGAGTTTGACTCCGGGTTATACAATGACACTGCAGGGTAGCTCTTCTCAATATAATTCAACTTCTGAACAACTACCTGCAACAATATACATGCCCCTTCAGAATCACAAATACTGTTACTGGCAGTAACGTGAGTAACCTAATAGCTAAACTCATGGAAGTGAATAAAAAACAAACCTTGTAATAAACCTGTGTTTTCTCATCGTCCCCCTGTACAGTATCAGACATGAGACGTCCTGAAACGTATACTTGCTGGCCTTTCTCAACATGCTGAAAAGCTACATGAGCTAGCTCATCCCAGAATGTTAAATTGACCCTGCAGCAGAGAAGACCAATACCAACACAAGCTCATTGCCAATTTTCCATCGAGGACTATTAAAAATACAACATTTAGAATTCAAACTATCCACAGACTGAAGAAATTGTACATAAACTCATTGATTTCTCAAGTCGCCAACAGTAATAAATTCCTTCTTCCTTCAATATCATTAAAACAATCCACATTACTAGACTAATTTCAATGCAATGTTACAAGTTTAAGCTGTGATTACCTCAGTCCAATCCATAACAAAAGGATGATTGTTCTAACAGTTCGATCATTTTCCAAGGTTGTTCTTTAGTATAATTTTCATCATAATACTAGTAAATGCAAACATGCTTTAACTGCAGTCATAGTTCAAGCTGAAATGCACCGCGTTTGAAAACTGTAAGAGAACCCATGTGGAGTACCTTATGCAACTATGATGCTATCATAATCAATACCATTTTGTTCAAAGTTCAGCGAGTGCAGTGCAGATTAGTAATAAAATTCTCAAAGGACCCATGTCAAGCATATGGCGTGCAATTACTATCACACTCATACCATCAAGGAACTGTTAGCTAATCCGACATATCATTTATGTGATGCAACTAAAATGTGACACATTGCATGTGTAGTTACAAACTTACAATGTTGCTAAAAAGTGTTAAGATATATAATTTTTTTAAGTGGGTCCCACCTTATTTTTTGCATTCAACTTTTATTTTTCCTTCTTTGCTGCTGCAGCCAAAGTTGAATGCAAAAAATAAGGTGGGACCCACTTTAAAAAATATATATCTTAACAATCCCCCACAATTTTTTTTTAAACTAGTGTCATGTAACGGTGCCGTCGTTTCAATCGTTGTGCATAAGGAAGATGTCGTAAGGACTTGAATCCCCTTTAGACCAACTGAATAAAAGATAGGTGCATGGTGTCGCAGAGACTTGAACCAGCATATATCTAAAAATCCAGCGATCACACAAGATCAAACTTATCTGTGGTAGTTTTCACTTTGAACCACACTTGCCTTTACTTTTGCCTTTGCCTTTGTCTTTACACATTTATGACCCTGTGCATGTCCTGGTTTCTGCTAGGGCTCTAGGTATCTTTCCACAAGACACCATAGGAGACGGCCAAATCTCCACCCATGCATAGGTGAGTTCTTTAGGCATGTTACTTATCAAACATCCTGCATCCGAAATGCTTTGAACTCATTAAGGCTTAATAGTCACCCTCTCTCATGATAAGATTCTAGATGAAAAGATCAAAGTTTTACTTGGATAGTTCAGCCAGGTAAGGATAGTATTAGAGGTTGATCAAAAATCAATTAAGTACCTCGTTTCTTGTGGAGCACGTTACGCAACCCCCAAACCTTACCTTAGACACTGACTAATCCAAGAAAACTTGAACCCTTTCACTTGTAAATCTTACTTGACTTTTGAACCATTTATCTTGTCATTAGTAGCATAAGCTTTGAACTAATAACTTGATGTAAATGGTAAGTATTTATAAGACTACAAACTTTGCAAATCTTACTTGACTTTTGAACCAATTATTTTATTATTAGTAGCATAAGCTTTGAACTAATAATTTAATAAACATGGTAAGTATTTGTAAGACTTACAAAACTTTAAGACCCATTCCAGCAGACGTCCTTTTGACTATGTTCTTTTTCAGACCCTTAATCAAAGGATCAGCCACATTCTCTGAAGATCTGACGTCAATCACAGAGATGACTCCTTGACAAATGAGCTTTCTCAAATAGCCATGCTTCAAACGAATGGTCCGCTTTTTTCCATTGAACATCGAGTTTGCTGCCACAGCACTCGCCGCCTGATTATCACAATAGCCTTCGACTCAGCTTCATCTCCTGCAACACAGAGTGTGAAGAATTCAGATTCCATCGATGACTGTGCAATTATGGTCTGCTTCTTAGACTTTCACGAGACGGCAGCTCCACCCATGGTGAAGACAAATCCTCCAGTAGATCTGTACTCACCTGGTTCTGAGCACCAGCTCGCATCTAAATAGCCTTCGATTACACCCGGATATCCAGTGTAGAATAGGCCCAGACCTGTAGTTCCTTTTAAGTATCTCATCAATCTCTGGACAGCATCCCAATGAAGCTTTTCAGGATTACTTGTGAACCTACTAAGCATTCCTACAGCGAATGCTATATCTGGCCTTGTACAGCTCATTGCGTACATAAGACTCCCAATGATCTTTGAGTACCTTAGCTGATCTACTGGTTTTCTAGTGTTTGGTCGAAGCTTCATGTATAAAATTAGTACGAGTGCACCCAACCCCATTGTAAATGAAGTATCATCTTCTGCTTACTCCTCTGTGTTATGGCACAATAAGCTGGGACATGTAAATTATAGAAAATTATCCAGCATGGAGAAGTTAGGATTACTTCTAAAATGTGGGGGTAACAAACCTGAGAAGTGTGAAGTTTGCATCCAGCATGGAGAAGTTAGGATTACTTCTAAAATGTGGGGGTAACAAACCTGAGAAGTGTGAAGTTTGCGCGCAAGCAAAGCTGACGAGGAAGCCATTGAAGTGTGAAGTTTGCGCGCAAGCAAAGCTGACGAGGAAGCCATTTTCAAGTGTCACGAGAAGCACCAACTTGTTGGATCTGATTCATTCAGATACTTGTAACTTCAAGAGCTTCATCACTCGTGACGACAAGAAGTACTTCATCAGCTTCATTGACGATCATTCTCGCTTCTGTCACGTTTACCTGCTGAAATCTAAGGATGAAGCCTTCAGTAGGTTTGTCGAATTTCGGACTCGAGTGGAGAAGCAGCTTGGACTTCAGGTAAAAAGACTCAGGAGCGACAGAGGAGGAGAGTACTGATCTAAGGAATCAGAAACATACTTCAAGGAGCATGGAATCATTGCTGAAACTACTGCTCCTTATTCTCCGTAATCTAATGAGATTGCAGAAAGAAAGAATCGCACATTGACCGAGATGGTGAATTCGATGCTAATCATATCTGGTCTACCTACCTGCTATTGGGGAGAGGCTTTGCTGATGGCAAATTAGATTCTGAACAGAGTACCCTATTCCAAAATTAATAGTACTCCTCATCAGTTATGGTTGGGATATCCAGATTTTTTGGATAGTCTCAAAGTGTGGGGGTGTCTCGCATACGTTCGAATTCCAGATATCAGAATACCTAAGCTCGGGCCAAAGACAAACAGATGTGTGTTTCTTGATTTTGCTGGAGATAGCAATGCGTGTAGGTTCCTGGATCTTGGAACTAACTCCATCATTGAAGCTCGAGATGCAGAATTCTTTGAGGATAAGTTTATCAAACATAAAGGCTTATTGCAACTCCATCATTGAAGCTCGAGATGCAGAATTCTTTGAGGATAAGTTTATCAAACATAAAGGCTTATTGCTCAAAGATGTAGCAGAGAATTGAGGATAAGTTTATCAAACATAAAGGCTTATTGCTCAAAGATGTAGCAGAGAATGCTAGTACATCAGATACACAAGAGGAGTCAGTCAATGATGAAGGAGTTATCGAACCATCTTCCAAGCACATCAGAAGACAAAAAGATTTTGGAGATGACTTCATCACCTATAATGTAGAAGGAGATCCACAGACTTTTCAAGAGCAATGCAGTCAACAGACGTTCTTCTGTGGAAAGAAGCTATAGATGATGAGATGGATTCATTGATCCAAAATCATACTTGGGAGCTGGTGGATGTACCTGAAGGTGCAAGGCCTATCAGTTGCATCATACTTGGGAGCTGGTGGATGTACCTGAAGGTGCAAGGCCTATCAGTTGCAAGTGGATCTTCAAAAACAAACTTCGTCCTGATGATACTATTGAAAAGTACAAAGCAATACTGATGGCGAAAGGATTCTCTCAGAAAGAAGGTATAGACTTCTTTAATATTTATGCACCAGTTTGCAGGATCACTACCATCAGAGTGCTTATCGCATGGGCGGCGATTAAAAGGTTCGTCATACATCAGATGGGTGTGAAGACTGCCTTTCTCAATGGAGATCTCACAGAAGAGATCTACATGGAAAAGCCAGAAGGACTTGATTCTCCAGCTGGTAAGGTTTGTAAACTTGTTAAGTCATTATATGGACTTAAGCAGGCACCAAAACTCTGACACGAGAAGTTCGATGGCGTTGTTCGCAACAATGGATATCAAGTCAGTGAATCTGACAAGTGCCTATACATCAAGGTCGCTAAAGGAAAAGTGATGATCATCTGCCTCTATGTGGATGATATGCTTATCATCGGGAGTGATTTGGAGATAGTAATATCTACCACTATGTGGATGATATGCTTATCATCGGGAGTGATTTGGAGATAGTAATATCTACCAAGAAATTTCTTTCAGCACAGTTCAGCATGAAGGACCTTGGAACTGCGGACGTGATTCTCGGAATCAAAATTATATACTCTGAAGAGGGTATTGGATTGTCTCAATCTCACTATATCAAGAGCATGCTAAGAAAGTATGGCTACTACAACCTGTCAGAACTGTCAGTGCCGTATGATTACAACAAGAAGCTTCGACCAAACACTGGAATGAAAAGTAAGGTGGGTCCTACATATTTTTAAGAAAAACGTGAGCTGCTGATCAAAGAAATTTTAGGACGTGGGTCCCATATGCATAGTAAAATACATTATTTTATTAGTGCATAGTATTTTTCTAAACGCTATAAATAGAGCTCAAATCCTTAAGAAAAATTCATTCCAAAAATAACAATCAATATATACAGATATAGATTGTAAAATAGCTTGTGCTTATAGAAATTTTGCATGATAGATCGAGGAGATCTTTTGCCTGATAGATCGAGGAGATCTTTGCCTTAAGATCGAGGAGATCTTGACAGTACTGGGTCGATGCACACCAGAGTACTGGACTGCTGTTCCTGGAAGTAATTTGGCCTTGGGATCCTTGCACCGGAGTAGGCCAAATAATGCTTTAAGCACAGCGTTTTACAAATGCACAGCAGCTAAGTTGAAAATTTTAAATTACTGTCATTCAGTTTTCTGTTCAGATTTTTGCTGTTATATATCTGTATTATTCCAGTTTTAACCACAGGCGCCAACAAAAAGATACAATCTTTCTCCATCAAATTTCTCATAGGACCCATGTTGAGCATATAGAGTGCAATTATTATCACGCTCTTACCATCGTGGAACTCTTAAGTAATTCAACATATCATTCATGCAATGCAACTAAAATGCGACGCATTGAATGTGCAGTTACAATGTCGCTATCAAGATTAATCTTTCTCCATCAAATTTCAGTCCAAGCAACATGTTTCAAAATTAAAAACTAATTCCTTCACTCAAAATTCAGTGTATGCACAAGTTTCAAACCCATCAGAGGACCCAAGTCGAGCACCTAGTGTGCAATTACGATACTGATCCTACTCCATTCAAACTTTTCCGAAACCCCGTATCGAGCACCTAGAGTACATAAAAGATAGAACCTTACCATGAAGAATCAGATGCCGATTTCTTGACGCCGATACGAGTCCAAGCGAGGACCTTTCCACTGCTGAGCTGCTTGATTTGGACAGGAGCACCGACGATTCCGATGAGATGAACGGAGTTGGCTAGATCTTTGCTCCATGGGATCTCTCGAGGCCGAGGGTGAAGCGATCGCTCTTGCTCGTATTCGCCTTCGGAAGCTGAGCATCTGAGAATTGTCGAGGGTTTCTTCAAGTGGAAAGATAGGGAGAAAGAGTTAGAATTAGGGTTAGGGCTCGGGTTTAGGGTTTTGGGGGTGAATTGAGGGAGAAGGGGTTTTGGTGGGGTTTTGAGATGGCAAAGATTGGGAAGCGCCATTTGGTATGCGGATAAAGAGCGGGGATAAACCGCGAGAACGATACTTGTTAATTTTATGAGCTTTCCAACATGGACCAAAATATGAGACTGACCGGGGGCAGGTGAGCTGTCACTCCTATTGCAAAATAAAGTGGTCATCATTAATATGGTTATTTTATTATGCAATAGAAAGAGGATACATCATTTATCTCTATGTTGGTACCATATGTTAGATCATTGATGAATTTTTCTAACTTTATTATTTGAAGAATTAAATAGCATAGGTCTTTATGTTTACTTTCACTATTTCCTACGATTTGCACTGGCCGGCTCCCATTAGAACTTTGTAGTTAACAACATTGCTCGGAAGAGAGTAGTACGGGTCACCCCCTTTTCCCCAAAATTACTCCCATACTTTTGTGTTCGATTCCCAATTAAATTATAAATAAAAATAAATAAAAATACTTTTTGAAGTTTACAGTACATTTCATTATTATTAGGACTTTTCTAATGGGGATCCATGAGTATTCAAGGATGAGAGATGTAGGAGGATGAGGAGAGAAATTGGTACAAATCATCATGGAGAGCTATTCATTTCTCTCTATCTCCCTCATTTCCTTAATTAGACAACTTTTTACTATTACTATTTTCTGGATGGGAATGTTTTGCATTAAAATAACATTTTCTAAAATTTGATTCCACTTGCATTGTCATTATTTATAATTAAAAATAACACGTAAGTTTTTTTTAGTAGGACTTCGTTCTTCTTTAATTCCCTCGTGAGACAGCATGAAGAGATTGCATAACAGAACACTGTCTAAATACCAAACTTTTAGAGCATCTCCAACAATGATCTTAGTTTTTCCCTATATTTGAGGAGTAAATATTTCATCTTAGGAAATATGGAGTCAAATAAGAAGCAAGTGCTCCAACAATGCTCCCCAAATGACTCCCTATATTATTATATTTTCTATTATTATACTATGTTATTGTATTTTTTTTGTCAATACTTTATGTATATTTGTGTTTGCAATCAATGATATGTCCAAAAAATAACAAAAATGATAACATATTATTGTATTGTAGATATAGGGAGTGTCTCTTCTTGTCTTTGATTTGGAATACCAAATCAAGGACCCTATATTTGGAATACCATATAGGGAGCTTGTTGGAGCCAAATATTCACCTCATACTCCCTAAATTTGAGCTAGGACATGGGATAGGGAGCCTCTTGGAGTTGCTCTTAATCTTATGACTGAATTCTATTTTAAACTTCCAACGTTACAAAAACTGTGTATCGGATGCTGCTTCTCAATTTATTTTTAGAATCCATTCCTTTGATAATATCTAGTTTTCCATCAATTCGACATCATGGACTTGGTACCAACCAATTCCTCCGTGTGAAACTAAGCTCGCTTCTACAGTTGGATGAAAAGTGAGAATTCTCTGTTACCTGTAATTGATGGATTAGAGCATTTCAATTAGGATAATGCTAATCTGACTATTAATACTAAACTATACTCATTATACGAGAATCTCATTATTAAAAATTATAAATCCCCTAGAGTCCCATAAGTTTATTTAGCTTATCAGGATACTCGAATTGATACATGTCCTCTACGTCCTCAACCCCAACCCAGAGCAATTCAAACATAAAAGCGCTAGAAATTTTAGAATTGATTTGGTAGGGGTGCGCCAGGCCCGTGAAATAGTGCAACACACGGGCGACGCTCAAGGACCCCAATAGCAAGCTATAGTAACGGGCCCTCCCCCGACAAAAATTAATTTAATATCATAGTGGGCCGATAGCCCACGTATCAGATATTAAACTGATAAGAACAGATACTACACTTGATCTTAGCCAAAAGGCCGAGAAAGGTATGGTTCGGTTAGCCTTGGACAGCTCAATTTATGGGGCCACCTCCTAGCCGGCTATGTCCTTGCAGTCGATGTGGGACTAAAAGTTTACTAAAGACGCAAGACAAGGGGTCACCGCCAAGCGCTAGGAAGGATATACGACTGAAAAACTAACACTTCAAAAGAAAATAACAACAATAAATCTCGTTGCTTTTAATCGCCCGATGATTCCTTCCCAATAAAAAAATTGTTTTCAGGTTTTCTATTATTTTTTTTATTCACTTCCTTTTTTTTTCCACTGAAAACACGATTTATTAAAAGTAAAGCATATTGGTTACTGATCAATCAAAAGATGTTCTTCATCACTCAAATACTTGGTAAGATCAATCTTGGAACTGTATTTGAAAGTCTCAAGTTCGCATCAGTCTTCGTTAAGCCTGCACGCTAATGAAATTTAAAATTTAAATTTTACAAATAACAGGCATATGTGAGTACGATAAAATGAAACTAGAATGTATTTGATAAAATCAATCTTGAATTGATCGTAGCTTACAACAAATTCCAGTTCAAGTCATAGAAAAACCTCCTGTCGACAATGCAGAATTAGAAGTGTGACCTTAAATATAGATCGAGTAGCAAGCAGGAGGCGTACACGAGTCTCATGAAACAGGAGAAATACATTCAGTGTTTCCTAGTCTTTTTTTTTTCATAATAACAATGATCAATCAGTTTTAATGTAGGATAACAAAATAATGGATTTCCCAATCTCAAAAATGACAATAAGAGTCAATATAACATCGTTATAAATAGGTCATTTCATCAAAGCATACTAAACCATAGAGTACATGTCCCATCCTCAACCTTAGGAAGGGGGAATTCTTTTCTGCTTCGAGCTTTCATTCAAAAGAGAGAAACATGAAGAATCCAATGGGCACATAATATTTATTCCAGTTTCTTTAAAGCTACAACTATTGCCCTTCAGCGACGGCAATCAATATTTCGAGCTGGGTAGTCATCTGTCTTTGCATTTGAACAGTAGAGACTTCTACTATTTGCCCATCTCCCAAATGACACCACCACCGTCCTCTGCAAAGTAGGAGATTTTGACTCCGCAATATGTTCAATAACACAACAAAAACGAAACAGCACCACAAAAGATAATATCATTAGAGATTTATCACGTAAGTTTCATCAGACCGCTTAAAATGCCTGAAACTGACGTATGATCACATACACGCAACCCATCAATCCAGTCCCTCTGATAAAATAACTGCTGCATGGGCATTAAATTATAACCAAGGGAACGATGCACAATTGAAGTATATTATCTCAAGGGAAACTGAAAATGTACAAGCTGATCACTAACTTCAGCATAGTTAGATTTTATTTTCTATTTTTTTCAATCTTAAATACTCATTTTAATTGAATTCTGAAAATGCCCTCCTTGACCATAATAGTATATATGTTTTGGCAGCATTTAGAGACATAAAGTTTCAATTTGAAGTGATTTGTTCTAGCAGCAAAATAGCTTGCAGATACTGTAGACAAAACACGCCAGCTTCGGCGCGCCTATTAGCTGGATTGTGAAAAGATATTTAAAAAAATCAATTTAGGTAGACGAATTACAGGCAATGTTAGGTACTATATATTCTATGCAAGTGAATAATGAAATGAGAGTGCACCTTTGATCTTTTTGTTTATCCAAACCTCCGCTAGCATCCCTGCACCAACTCCAGCAGCAATTACAGCACCATATATGGCTATTGCAGAAGATAATGATCGTTTAGGAAGAAAATAATACTCGGGAACTTGTCTAATCTTTTTCGGAAGCCGTTTCTTCGTCACTGGACCAGCTGGTTCACTGGAACCAGTATTGCCCACTGTCTTCCAGTCCACGTTTTTCAGCAGGTCTTTAGAATCCTCTGATGCCATAAGCAGCTCCTTGTGCTTGATGTAAATGAAACCTGCATTGTTGCAAAACATTAAGATTGTACTGTAAATTTCTGTTGTTTTTTTTTTTTGACCTTTTTCTTGACATTAGAAAAATGTGACGTTTGACATGAAAAAAGGATCCTCAGTATCCTACTTTACAACAACCAGTCTACCACATTGCTCCTGGACATAAAAAATCACCATGGGAATTGAAAAATGGAAGGAGGCATACGTAGTAAATACAGGTCGAACTTAACAGATGGCAGATGTACACGTCATGAGATTTGAAGCAAATGAGGAAAACTAGAATGGGTCATCTCCACAGCTTTATCTTTTTCAATGCAAGGATCACTTGTTGGATTGAATATATGTTGACATAGATATTCTCCACACAGCTTGATTTTTGAATACAAGGGATGAAGATCTGATATGATATGTAACCATTTGATTTGATATGATATTTTTGTCTTGTGTCAACCTGTCAGCCACATTTCTACAATTTCTAATGGACTAGGGTTTCACTTGTAGGGAACTTAAATAGAGGTTTGTTGGAGATTCGAGGTTCGTTGGAGATTCAAGTTTAGATCAAGTAACAGTCATTTGTTAACCTTTCTGAATAAAGGTCGTAACAACCAGACCCCAAACCATTACCCCTTAAGCTAGACTCAAACCCAACCTATACAATGAACTCATCATATTTCGGGATCTCCCACATAAACCCAATGTCTTCGGGTGTATAAATTTCATTCCATTACATATTTTTAAATTACACACAACCTGTTTTCTCTAAATAGCAGAGAAAAAAAACTATATAGCTTCGTTTTATATACATCGTTTATAAACTTTATATCCATGCTTCAAGTTAACCAAAATCTTTGCTAATTTTGTCTCTAAAAGTGTTATAATTAACAAAAGGCAAAATAATAGAATACTCTATCATTAAGTAGCCAAATCTAATGAATTGGCGAGACAAGATGAAACACAGATAACTAACTACAACCATAAGTAAAAGTATTAGAAATTAAATAGGCAGAAGAGTTAAAGAATGAACAAGAAAAGGTAAAGTTAGTTTCAAAAAGCGTAAAAATATAACAAAACTAGCAAATAAAAAGAAGTTATTTATCACTTAAGATATTGAGGGGGGGTGCTTAGTGCCCAAAGCCACCTAGGTAGTTAACTGCTTAGAAACACTTTGCGTACTAGAGTGCTTAAACAGACATATAGGCCATTGTTGACAGCTATGAAGCACGGACACGGCGACATAGACACGACACGGACACGGCAAAACCCAAAAAAATAGGACACGGCGACAAGGCTAGATTTTTTTAATATTATTATTATATATAGATAAATTTATAAAATTCAAACAACAAACTAAAATGTAATCCTCAAACACAAAATACTAAGCGACTAACAAGTCTAACATTGCAATCATATAAAAATTACAAGAGAATAAAGATCAAGTTGCAACTAGTTCCATGACTACAAAATATTAAGTTACTAACATTGCAAAAATATAAAGTTACAACCAAAAGCGTATCTTAAAATAAAATTTTCAAGTTGAAACATCAAAAAGATCGTTCTATGGCTTCAACTCCTTCATCCTCCTCAAACACAATGGCCTCCATCGTGGGCTCGTCAAGAGAAAGGGTAGCAACATCTAAAATACCGACACCTTGAAATGAGTCGAAGGCATCTCCACCAATATCCCACATTCTTGATTCCCCTTCCATATACTCTTTCGAACTTCGCGAAAGTAAGCGAAGGTTGGTGTGAACATAAACAAGATCCTCTGCTCGTGCCAGGGTTAGCTTGTTCCTCTTTAAGGAGTGAATAAAACCATACGTACTCCAATTCCGTTCACAACAAGAAGAGGAACAAGGTTGACCTAGAAGCTTTACAGCCAATGCTTGCAAATTTGGAGTACTTTGACCATAAAGAAGCCACCATGACTTTGGATCCATATGTCCTCTATCGGAAAGAGAATCTGGATCACTAAAAGCCTCCAAAGCCCCCGCAAACTTAGCATATTCCAAGTTCACCGCCCGTCGTTCATCGGGGTTAGGATAGTATCTTCTTAAGCACTTTGCTCTTTCCGTAGAGATCTCAAGATTTTGATTTGGAGCTTGTCGATTGACGCTCTCATTGAGCCATGTAGAATGATAGTACCTATGTTCGTTAATAACATGAATTAGCCCACAATGTATTGATTGATAGAAATATTCGCATTAAAGAGTGAAATGTGAAATATTACCTTGGAACTAAAGAGTGTGCCAAGCACTGAAGCGGGGTGTTGCTCTTGTTCCATCGATCCACCAAGATCTTGTGAACCACCTCATAAAAAAAAGATTCCTCATTATCCCTTTTACCCTCATGCCTATAAATAGCTTGCTTCACCTTCTCAATCATTGTATCCCACATATCATACACCAAATGAAGACATTGTGTATCAATGTCGGTGACCCTTATCATTTCATAGATTGGGCCAGTGAAGTCAAGAATAAAATCTATCTTGTCCCACCACAAATCATCGAGGACTTTCTCTTTCACAAATTGAGCTTTTCTCACATCATCTTCTCTATACAAGCTCCAACGATCACTAAGGACCATGTCTTGGAGGGCTCTCTTGACGACCTTAAACCTCTTCAACATAATAATACACGAGGCAAATCTTGTGTCGGCAATCGATAGGAGCTTCATCTTGGAATAATCATTGAACATGGCAAGCCGCATAGAGTGGTTCATGAAAAAATTCTTCATAAGCAATGCATCATCGGAGATCTCTGTAATCCAATGTAATTGTGCATAAGCCACCGCATTTGCTTCCGTGTTCTTAGCCGCACAAATATTATTGATAGCAAGATTGAGTGTATGGACTACACAAGGAGTCCAAAATATGTGAGGCCAGGTGCCCTCCACAAGCCCTCCCGCGGCCTTGCATGCCGAAGCATTATCGGTTATGATTTGGATGACATTTTGCGGTCCCACCTCTGTGATGCACTTTTCTAGCTTCGCTTGGATAATATATTTATTCTTGACTTCTCCCTCAGCATTTACGGCTTTCACGGCATTCAAGAACATTGGTTTACCTTCACATACCGCTATAAAATTGATGATGGGCCTTCTTTGTGCATCCGCCCACCCATCACTACAAATGGAGACCCCATTCTGTTGCCATGTGCCCCTGATGGGCTCCATCAATCTTTCTATGTGAGCTTTCTCACGTTGTAAGATAGTGGTCATCATGTAATTGTAACTGGGAGGCTTGTAGCCAGAGATTGAATTGCTTGCGGCATATGTAAAAGTCTTAGCATAATATGGATTCCTTGTCAAGTTCAAAGACAATCCCCCGGTGAAAAACATCCTACCAATCAATGCATCTAATTCCTCCCTTGCTCCCATGTTGAATGATTGTTCTATGGTATTAGGCCCCCTCCTCTTCTTAGATTCACTTGCACGATTCAACATGCTTGCACTTGCACTTACACCGGTCGTACTTGCAGTCGAAGATGTAGGCAAAGATAAAGTCTTAGGCCTAGAAGTCCTTAACCTCACCTCCGCTTGATCCAACGTCCTTTGAAACTCCCTTAGATTTTTGGGTGTTGACTTGGAACACATCTTAATTCCAATCCCGCTTATCCTCAAGAGGTGATTTTTAACTCTTGAGTGTGAACCAGTAAATTCCTCTCTACAATAATTACATCTCCATCTCCAATTTCCTCCTGTCGTTCCCCCCCTTTTCTCCAATTTGGTAACATATTTTCAAAGCGGAAATTTGTCATCTTGTACTCCACTGCCACTAGAACTCCCTTCTTGTTTCATTTCCCTAAAGTACAATAGCAATAACAGAAAATTAAAAAATTAACAATAGCAAAACAATAACTAAAATCCTAATTAACAGTAAATTAAAAAATAGAACTCTAATTAATTAACAGTAAATTAATGGAACCCCAATTAATTAACAGTAAATTAACAGAAAACAGTAAATTAAAATGTAACAATAACCCTAATTAAATTAACAGTAAATTCACATGAAAACAGTAAAATCTTCATATGTATATTCAGAGAGAGAGAGAGAGACGGATTCAGAGAAAGAATGAGAATCAGAGAGAGAGAGAGAGACGAAGAGATCCAGAGAGAGAGAAACGAAGAGATCGGTTGAGAGAGACGATGAGATCGAGAGATCGGGAGAGAGAGACGAAGACTATTGAACAATGCAAGATTGACAACCATCATTATTATTTATGCATGTTTGATTAAAAATTTGAAATATCGTTTAACCTAGTCAATTGGTTAATCACCATGCAAAAATAGCACTACTTGCAATTTGTTCTTCTTCTTCTTCTTCTTTTATGTGATGATTTATAACCAAAATTTAAACCTTTGGGTGTCCTGAAATAGTTCACTGTAAATAGAAAAGGAACAAGACCAAAATATATGTTGATAAATCAATCAGTTGTAATGAGCTAAGTAGGCTGATTTTCTGTGACTAGAATGTAGGTAGTATTCTCTTTCGACAGGACAGAGACCCCGCATTTCCTTGCAAATGAGTCAAAGGAACAAAGGAAAGATACTTTTCCATGTGCAAATGCAAAGGGGATCATTGGTTTTTATACAACTCAGTAGTTCGATTTCAAAAACGCCGTTCATTGCAGTTTCAAGCTGACAAAAAATCTATTTCATATATTTATCGAAGTTATCAGTTGGTCTCTCTTATCTCCTATTAGTGAAACAGCGTAAATCCATCAAAATCTACACATAAAAAATAGTAATAAACGAACCATTGACGCATTTCGACAAACACGCATAATACATGTAATGCATTTTCATAGATTTTGTTTAACATACAACAAAATAAAAAACAAATTCATAAATTTGGTTCCTGTATCTAGTTTCTTAACCGTTTTATGCGATTTGAAAGAAGCAATGTGAATCTCCGCAATTTGTTCAGATTGGGAAAATAGTATGAGAAATAAAGCAAAAAAATGATTATAATAGATGAGCTGACCTACAGAATTGAAGGTTGAGGATGTGTCCGTGTTCGCTTAGGTTATCGGTAGGGGTGGAATCGAATCGAATTTGAACGAATAGTGCAAGGTTCAAATTCGAGTTCGGTTTATATGATGCTATTCGTGTTCGTATTTGAATTAGACTCGAATAGTAATACAAATTCGAATTGGCTTTGTTTATTTATATTGATGTTTTGAAAAAAATTCGCGAATATTAGATTAGCATTGTTCTGCAACTTCGATTTCGAATTATTCGCCAAATATTCAATATGTATTCGCTAATAATTCGAAAATCATAAAAAAAATAAATATAATCAGTAAACAAAAGGTTTTTTTTTACCCTTCCAGTGAGAAAAAGCAGAGAATTACGGCATGAAATCGCCAAGATCTGCAGAGATCGAGGGAAGTGGGCGTCGTCGCGGGGAGGGATGAGGGCGTCGTCGCGGGTAGGGACGAGGGCGTCGAGAGAGAGGGAGGAGGGCGTCGTCGCGGGGAGGAGCGCAGGTCGTCGGAGAGGGAAGAGGGCGACGTCGCGGCGAGGGAGGACAGCGTCGGCGGGGAGGGAGGAGGGCGTCGGAGAGAGAGGAGCGCAGGTCCTCGGAGAGGGAAGAGAGAGTCGTCGCGGGGAGGGAGGACGGCGTCGTCGCGGGGAGGGAGGACGGCGTCTGGGGGTGGGAGGAAGCGGAAGGTGGAAACTCAAGTGATCGTGAAAACCCTAGGCCCCTCTAAATTAGTAAATAAAATTTTGATGGGTAATATTTGCAACAAGTTTAATTAATAGGATTAACATATAAAAAATCATCGAACAGTTAATAATCAGTCTACCTTTTAGTTAAATTCTATTTGTTTATAAGCCGAATATTAAAAAGTATTTATTTAGTATTAAAGGAAGTGTCGGATCGAATATGACTGAATATCCGGACGAATATTAATCAAATTGTTTATTAAATATTTGGTTCGCTTCCACCCCTAGTTATTGGGGATTGAGCATAGACTCGTTTTTTTGGGATTTTCGGTACCTCCAAGTTACAGAACCGATCAAGCCCTGAGGCAACAAACCCCGTTCTCATTAGAACCCAAACCCGATACGTCATGTTTTTTTCTTTTCTTTTTCTTTTTACTTTTTTCCTCTTTCGATATTTGTTTGGAGTGAGTAGAATTGTTTGCTCATGCTCTCAGCACATGAAGAGCAGACA